TTGTCACAGCAATAGTGACGAGTAGTTGTCACAGCAATAGTGACGAGTAGTTGTCACAGCAATAGTGACGAGTAGTTGTCACAGCAATTGTGACGAGTATGACCTGTGACAGCAATGGTGAAGAGTAGCTATCGCAGCAACATTCAGGATAAGGGGAAAAGGGCGGTGTGCGGTGAAAGGGAGAGGATTGGAGCAAGAGGATGAAAGAATTAGGAACGAATGGGAGAGGATTGGGGGCGAGGATAGAGTTGTGACAGAGACAACAGACAACAGGATGCGACAACGAGACGGCATCGATCGTTACCCTGACGACGTCGGGCTGCGAATGCGCCGCCGCATGCGCCGCCGCATGTCCAAGCCGAATGAGCTCCTCGTTGATCCAGATGTCGCCACCGTCGGCAGTGTCGCACAGACACACCTGCTTGCAATCGTCGTCACTGTGAATAATATAGTGTGGAGTGGGAGCGAGAGCGAATCAGTGAGACAGCGACAAAGAAAAAAAGAAGAGAGAAGAGATCGTGCCGAAATAATTCAACTCCAAAATATGAGATTTCCAAACGTATTTGGCCGTCTTTGACCCATTTGCATGTTTCGCCTTTTGGCCATTTTCGGCAGCGACTCAACAAAAATAGTATGGAAAAAAACAAGTGAAAAATAAAAGATAGTGAATATAAACAACAAAAATTTTGATAAAAAAGAAAGTAACTCGATCAATTACTCGATTGAACCGCGTCGATCGCTCGACCCCCGCGCGGCGCCCTCCACCCACCCATCTCCAGGGATGATGTACGCCGTGAGTGGCTTGTCGACGCCCGTGTAGCTCTTCAGGCTGCGCACCGCCTCCTGGCTCCATCCCCTCCCCTCCTCCGCCTTCTTCTCCGCGGGGTTAACGTAGTCGACGACGAGGCGCGCAGGTCGGAGGTCAGACAGCGAGCAGCGGACGGCGAACGCGGGCGGCTCGCAGAACCGCGGCTCAAGCGGCAGCACCTGCGTCGCCGTGGCAACCGTCTCCTCATCGCCCCAGTCGACGTAGTGGACCTGCGAGATGCAGGGATCGGTCGCGCGTTACTCGTGAGCAGGTTATCACGTCCTCACACGTAACACAGTTGCGATCCCAAGTCATGAGTGAGCTAATGTATTAATTAAGTTATCAGTGAGCGAATGTATTAAATTATCATTGAGCTAATGTACTAAGTTATCAGTGAGCTAGGGTATTAAGTTACCAGTGAGCCAGGGTATTAAGTTATCAGTGAGCGAAGGTATTAAGTTACCAGTGAGCCAGGGTATTAAGTTATCAGTGAGCGAGGGTATTAAGTTATCAGTGAGCCAGGGTATTAAGTTAT